TTTTACTGAATCTGTGGAAGCTCCGCCATAGCCACCACCAAACAACTGAGTTATTTTTACACACCGGCCAGCATCTGACCAATCCAACACCTTTCATTGTTTATACCGTTACAAAGAAAGAAAGAAAAATCATCGGGCCACCGAGCAAATCCCCGTTATGCCCAATGGCCAGTCCAGCTATGGCCGTGCCATCAGTTAACCCCTTAGCAGTCCTATTAGTCCCCTAAACCATCCAATGTCCCGTGGGCGGTACGTCCGACTGCTAACAGTTTAACCCTGATATCATCAGCTCCACTGTACTCTAATCCTGCAAATGAACACCTACTCCATGGTGTTTAAATCTGCACCTTCAGTGAGCTCTGCATAGTGTAGCAACAATCTCTCTCGGTTAGAGGAAGGAAGCATGGCATATGTGGCATACCATACCATAAAATTCACTTTAAGGCTAGAATTGGAAAAGCAAGGGACGCAGTGCTTTCCAAGTCAAATCTAAAAACTGGCATCAATTAAAACGTGCCAAGTTGAAAGCAATCTCTCTCCTTTCATCTCAAACAGCGTTCTGTCATTCCAGCCTGTCGCTGGAAGCTCTGTTTGCCTTGGAAACTGCTTGCATTGGAAAATGTAGCACGTTTCCTGTGTGTAATGTAGATAAATGTCTGGTATTTGGTGGGAGACTAGTGGGAGACCAGCATGCGAGGCAAACTGCTGCTAAAGGTAGCTAGCTCCTCATTCACTGCTCTGAGATCAGTGTCAAGCTGTGCTCTGTGTGAAAACAAATTAGCATTAGCGAAAAGACAAGCTTCTGTGATTTTTCATTGTAAAAGGGTGTTACACAGAGAAGAAGGTGTACAGTGTGAAAAGATGTCAATAAGTTGGAAGTACCAAAAGTTGTCAATAACTCTTTTACATTAGCAAAAAAAGCGTTGATCAATTCTATTTTAAGGAAATAGGAATAAGCAGCACTTTCAGATTAGCATGTCTGACAAATCACTAGAAAGTTTAACCAAGTGTTTTGCCAACACACCTCTCTACACACATCTCTATTTTTCATTATTTTTAATCCCACCTATGGATATGTACTGTGTCACACACTATTTAAGTCTTAAATTCAACCAATCTTTTATTATTGATATATTTTAATATTCTTTTTAAAGGATCAAATGTAGGCCTATGTTTCTGTGGTTTTGTAGAATGTCATGCATTACTGTAGATTAAACAGAGTAAAAGCTTTAAATGAGTTTGAATTTACCTTAGCCTTAAACATTTCCACTATTAGTTGTGGTCCATAAAACACTGAGAAGGAACATTTTTCTGTAGAATAATTACTTTTACTTTACTTATTTATTTACTTTTGATGATTTATCCACAATTTCAATTATCAATGCAGTTATACGTGTAATGAGGTGTTTTCATAGTGGTTTATTGTCTCTTTTGCTAAAGTAATGGTTCTTTTAAAAAAACAGAAAGAACCATCGAACACTCGTCACCGTCAGCAATCACTAAATATTTTTTACTAATATAATAGAAATAATAATATTTTACAATTCTTCGGCCAGGAATGACTGCAGAAAAGTAAAGAAATCTATGTGGAGTGTTATGTACTATACATGGTCAACATGGTATGTGTTAATCTGATAATCTGTTAATACCATATGTTTTAGTGTGTGTATGTGTGTGTGTTGGTGGAGGGGGGGATATATTGTAGTGTTTCATATGTGCATTTTGTTGTGCACACACCTAGAGGGCAGAAGTAATAATAATCCACCCGGTCGTTAAGTGATGACGTTACGAATCCTACTTCCAGGCCTAAAGTAGTCTGCGTTTAATATGGCTTTTGTGTTGTTAACATGTTTAATGTTTTGTATTTTCTTCTATTTAATCTCAAAAAGCTCCTAAAACAGTCAGTGATCACTGTTGACCTCCCTCGGCTTTTATTACCGCTAATCATTTATTTAAGCTCAGTTTTTAAAACCTTAGGATGTAACTACAGCCCAGCCCATGCAGCAGTATATGAATGACTAACCTCGTATTGTGGATGGATTATCTCAGTTGTTCTCCTGGCTGAAGTTTGGTCCTTTTACAGCATCCTGCCATGCGATTACATTTGTTCCTGACCACCGAGAACAATCACGTTAACGTTTATCGAGTGGAAAAAGAGTTAGCTTGTTTATATTATGCTAACATAGCTGTGTCGCTAGCGGTCACGTAGCACATCATTAGCTACAGCTAGCCAAACTTCAGTAACCCTGCAAACGTCACTGCTGTTTAGTTTTCTGTTTTCTGTTGGAAATGATAACAGAGCTGTACGTTTTAATTTGTTTCCAAAACCCCGCAGTCAGGACATGCTATATTGTATTTAGATAGAAGCTAGCGAGCTAACTTCCTGCTAACTTCTAACTCAGTTAAATGTCATAAATTCCGTTTTCATGGATGCCTGGATGTTAAACTCAATTGTTACACCTGGTAGAGCAGAACGCTGATCATTTTATTAAAGATGAAAGACAGTTTTTCAACTCTCAGTAATGCCATAGTGATCGTTTGATATATGGACCTGCAGCGGAGTTTAGGCCCAGACACGGCTAGTGACATCAGACTTAACGACCGGATTGGACTGGCTTTGAAGTTATAATTCAGTGACTGAAGATAGCCAACATAGGCACTCTCCATCCACACACACAGAGAAAGCTCCCAGCCACGTTACTCAGCCCAGTGATTTACAATAGGGGTAGTTTCACCAGGGGACATAGTAGCAATGGAAAATTAAATCAGGTAGAAGAACACAACTCTGTTAAGGACAGTAGTGCGGCCTCACTAATGAGATATTGAGCACAGAATAACAAGAACAAAGAAATATAGCCTGAGTGTCTCTTTCTTCCTTTCCTCTTTGTTTGCCTTTCAACCACTCAGAAAAGAGAAACTGCATTACTAAAATCCCTCTGGCAAAGATTAACATCTCCAGTCACTAATGCTAAAGAAGGGAGGAGTGGTGGCTGTTCTGTAGACATATAGGAAACCACAGGAACATTTGGTTTTCTATTTCATAGTACCTCAGTCTTCTTTAAGTAATCTGGAAAGCAATATAGGGGAGATATATGGGCAATAGTGATTTAAACAGCAAACTTTAGGGCTGAAAATGCAGCCAGAATAGAATAGAAAAGTCCCGTATTGTATTTGTACATGTACAACAAAATTGTGGGTGCCCCATGCCAATTTTGCAGGAATAAAATTTAAATAGTAAGACAGCAGGAATAAATAACAAACATGAGAAATATATAAAATCAAGACTAATATATATAAACAAGAGACAAAAGACATACATTAGAGCAAAAGTTGTAAAGCCTGTGTGTGAGTGGCCTGAGTGATGAGGGTTACTCAGACCATGGCTCAGATTAGTGGCTGGGTGGGCAGGAGTGGGGTTTTTGTGGCGTAGTGTTTGTTAATAGTCCAAATGGCCCAGGGGAAGAAGCTGTTAGTGAGTTTGGCGAGTCAAACAGGAGGTGGGTGGGGTCACCTGTGATGGCCCTGGTTTGTCTGAGACAGGAGAATCTGGCGATGGCCTCCAGGTGTGGCAGAGGACAGCCTTTTTTGGCAGTATTAATTACCCTCTGCACAGCCTTTCTGATCTCAGGTGTGGGCCCTGTGTACACAGAGCATGCTCTCCACTGAGGAGCAGTAGAAGCCCAGCAGTAGCTTCTAGTCCAGGTTTTTCTTCCTCAGGACATGGAGGAAGTGCAGCCGCTGTTGGGGCTTCTTTACCAGGGTGTTTACCGAGCTTTAACCTAGGAATAAGAGGGAAGGGGGCATCTGAGGGAGGTCCGGTTTGGTGATAAGGATGTCTGGGATTATAGAGTTGAATGTGGAGTTATAGTCCATGAAGGGCATCCTCACGTAGCTCTTCCTGTTAGCCAGATGGCTCTGCTCCACATATTTCATTTTTTCCCCCAAACCACTGTCCAAAAAAACTAAAACTAAGAGTAAAAAAAAGATATTCCTTGTAGTTGGTCATTAGGTTTGCACACATCTCAGGAGGGTTTTGGCCCTCTTTACAGAAAATCTCTAAATGCTTTAGGTTTTAAAGCCGCCTACAGCACATTTTCTACAGGACTGAGGTCTGGTGTTATAACCAGTGTGTTACCATTGGTGTTCTTGGTAACTGGTCCCAGTCTTGAGATCATTAACAAGCTCCTCCACTGCTATATGTTCTGTCTGACCGTGTGTGTGGGGAGTGGCTAATTTTTCTGATTACAGTCAAGTGAACTAAAGTTAACAATGATGATAACATAACAAGTTATTACTTCGTTGTTAGTGCAAACAAAAAGATTCCCAAAAAATGCTTCAAACTCTACTGCTGATGGCAAAGAGGCTAGCTCTGTTAGCTCATGCAATGTATTAATGTTGCAACCTTGGTCAGTAAATATAAAAAAGTCAAGCTGACAGGAAAAGTGCCAGCGGCAGAAAGTGGCAATTGAAAAATGTTGATAAAGATCCTTGTTGCCATGCCTACTGCGTGATGCCAGAAAAGTAGCAGAGACTTGGATTTCCTTTCTATTGGATAATGGGTCAGACTCAAAATATGGTGCATCATCTTCTGAAAACTGTCATCATTTACTCCATCACTTAAAGTGAAGAATACATCTGGAACATGTCATGAGTAAACATCTGTCATTGAGTACACAGAGATGACATAAACCAAGAAAGCTTGGAGTAGAAAATTATCTGCAATAAAAAAAGGACACTCACATTAACATAATGCACTAAGTTCTCCTGCTCGTTGACTTTGTAGGTCTTTATGCCGTACTCTTTGGCCAGACGGAGGATGCGGTTCTGTGTCGGTCCAATGTAGGCACCGCCTAGATCAACCCACTTTGCCTCCTTATTCTAAAAGACACATACTCGCAATTAGATCATGACAAAAAAGAAAGAAATGTCACAGATATTTCTGAAAAGGCTAACTGATCTATGCTTGTACTTCTACGCTCATAAATGACTTGAATGTAAATGTCTTTTTTTTTCTGTATGCCCATTAAAAGAAATAGATACACTATCTTGGTTGTAAAATTAAAAAGGCTGGAAAGTATTTATATTACTGTTACTGATTGTCTCTTTTATGAGCCGCTCCTACAGTAGTATTGACACTCTTTGCCTTACCTGCACAGTGAAGGTACGACCACCAACCCGGTCTCTGGCTTCCAACACTACAGGATCGAGCCCACTGGCTTTCAACAGCTTTGCAGCACTCAAACCTGCAGAAGGACAGAGACACCAACAGGACTTAAACATAAGGATTCAAGCAATATATGTGCTTTCTGTACTTGTAAAAAAAAGCAATAGCAAAAGGCACACAGGGATTTTAAAGGTCTTTTAAAATTAATGACAAAAAGGGCTTCCAAAAATCCTAATGCTAGTTAGGACATTGTTATACCATCAACAGCTATTCCCACTTTAATTGTTTTCCGTTGTGCATTTTAGCTTTTAGGTAGGCATGCAACTCTTAAATACAATTACATAACATTTGCTTTTCAAATGAACTGAGAGAGCTCTGGGAAAAATGGAGGGGGAAGGATGGGTGGGGGCTGTTGGGGAATCACAAACCAGCCAACCTGCTGATCATGTGGGGAGGAAGAGCTAACAAAAAAAGCACTGAGTACTCATTGGTTTAGCAACCGCAGAGTATACTGAAGAAAAACAGCTTTTCATACACTGACCTCTGGCACTCCTAGTTATACTTTAATTCAATAAGACTACTAAATGAATCTAGGCATGAACACACACACATGCAGAGAATTAGAGGGCAGCATATGGCTCTGAAGCGCTGATCTACAGGGCTGCTAAACACACAGAATATTGTTAAGAAGCTGTTCTTTAGAAGGGGAAACTGGGAGAAAAGGTACACCAAATTAAACAGCTGGACTGAGAGTCAATTCAAATTTGAAAATGTTGCTTCAAATCATTGTCAATGTGGACATCAGAGTCAGGAGCGAGGTGGTGGAGGCTCTGCCATGATTTGGGGATGCATTACTGGCAGTAGAGCAGGGCGATATGGCCAAAAATATTTATCACGATATATATTTGAAAATTTGCGATAACGATATAACTGACGATATAATTGATGCGAGACAAAATACAACTCCACAACATTACTAGCGCAAAAAGACAACCTTCCATTTATTTTCACTTAAACAAGAAGCTGGTTTTTATGTACATTAAAGCTTTATAAAAATGTAACAGTGCAAATGCAAATTCCTTGCTGAAAGTTTAACCAAAAGGCATTTCCAGTAGAAATGGGCTGACATATCCTGAGCATAACCATGTATAATATCCACTGAAGTTAAAAAGAGGTGCTTTGCAACATTAAACTGCAGTGTGCAGTACGTATTTTTCGGACCATAAGGTGCACGGGATTATAAGGCACATTAAGCGAAACAAAGCAGTCAGATAAATCAAACTTTATTAAACTCATTCTTCTTGCTTCCTCCACTTCTGTACCATTGATTCATTAATGTTGAATTCTCTGGCAGCTGCTCTATTCCCATGTTGTTGCAGTATATTAATGACTAACCTCGTATTGTGGATGGATTATCTCAGTTGTTCTCCTGACTGAAGTTTGGTCCGTTTACAGCATCCTGCCATGCGATTGCATTTGTCTCTAACTATAGGAACCTTCACGTTAACTTTTATAAGTGGAAAAGTGTTAGTGTTCGTCCTCCAGCTTCACTGTTTATGTTATGCTAACATAGCTGTGTCGCTAGCGATCACGTAGCACATCATTATATACCAGCTAGCCCAACTTCAGTAACCCTACAAACGTCACTGCTGTTTAGTTTCCTGTCTTCATTTATGTTGGAAGTGATAGCAGAGCTGTACGTTTGAATTTTTTCAGAAATCTCTCAGTCAGAACATGCATATATCATGCTTAGGTAACTAGCGAAACTAGCGAGCTAACTTCCGCTAGCTTCCTGCTAACTTCTAACTCCGTTAAATGTAATAACTTTTGTTTTCATGGATGCCTGGAAGTTAAACTTCATAGTTACACCTGGTAAAGCAGCAATGCTGATCGTTTTATTAAAGATGAAAGAATTTAGACAGTTTTTAACTCTCAGTGATGCTGCAGTGTTGTTTGACCTGAAGCATACGGAGTTTAGGACCCAGATTACTCCCAGATTTAAGAGCATCTTAGTCCGACAAATACGACAATAACGACGGCCGCTTGCATGTTCTGCAAAAAAATGTGCTTTGTCGTGTATCTGACGGACAAAAACCAAACCAGTTCCACATCACTGAAGTTGCACCATTTTTACAAAACCAATTCTGGTTCATCTGTTTCACTCAACAATCGGCCATGTGTGTATGAAAACAAAGGCACTGCGCATGCGCGTTTTACTCATATTCTATCGCGATATTTCATTTTCCTATCGTTGCCTAACATTACCGTGAACGGTATAATATGGCCCAGCCCTAACTGACAGTGTGGAAAAGTACTTTCAGATGTCAATCCACCATGGCACTGTGAATAAAAAGATGAAGAATCGCCTATGAGCAAGTAGTTGGTGACAGTGTGGGGGAAGAACTCCCTTTTAACTGGAAGAGACTAAAGGAAGTGGCAGTGAACAAATGGCGGATGACCGGCTTTTGATTGTGAGGGGCAGCCAATTTGGAACAAAGTCAGGCTTAAAGGTAATAGCGTGTTTTATTCTTGAGGATGAGCTGAGAACTTTGTTGAACTGTGCAAAGCTATTGGAGTCTAACAGAAAAAAATGTTAAAGAGAAAAACAGGCACTCTTTAATAAAACAAAAATGAGCATGCCAAAAATCACACAAAAGCCTACATACTGCATGTTATATTCATTGCATGTGCATCAGCAGACACTGATAAATGAGGAGCAGAGAAGAAGGGGGTAACTTGTAATAGAAAACAGCACAGAGCAAAATGTCTCTACTGTCAGCAGGTACCCACATCTGTGCAAATGTTTTCATGGCTTTCGCCCTAAATTCCCTTCTGGCCTCGCCATCTTCACCCCTATATTCTTTCCTGCCAAATCCGACTAAGCCCTATTTGATCTGGAAAGGTTTACATTAGTTTAAACAGAGTTTATTTTGCATTACCCAGCGTCAGCCTCCTCTCCATGTACAAAAGCGCTCAGCCTGTCAGGCTTTGCAGAAAGCATTAGACTTGACCAGGAGGAGGCTCACAAATCTCCATTAAATTGATGCTATTAACCTACACTTGGCTCAAAAGGTCACTCTCTGTCTTGGAAAACAAAGAGCATCTGTCTGCATCTCTTGTTTATGCCTACAGCAATCGCTGCAAAAGTAGCTTCCCGTTGGACTAGTCCTTTGATCAGAAAGCTTATTTATCCAAATCAAGGCTTCACTTTTTATCCCCCCTTTTCTTCAATTAAAAAACATGGTACAAAAGCAACTAATAGATCAAAAAGTGACCATCACTTCAAAAGGATGCCGGCTGAGTTTTCCCCTTATGTTTACTTCCATTCCCCCAACAACAATAATGAAAATGAACACACTCAGGCCGAGCTACTTCATGGACCAAAAAGCCAATGAGGCAAGAAAAAGAAATAAAATAAAATAGAAACCATCCAAGAATCTCAGTCAGAAATCAAAACCAATCATACAATTACTTTTTTTCTTCACTACTGCTTCATGCATTTGCTCTTTTTGTCTGTTCATACAGATAGAAAATGTTTTTGAATTTCTGTCTTTTTGCAATACTTACTGCAGTAGTTTGGAGTGCAAAGGTAAAAGGTCAGCGTCACTGAAGTTCTCTGGCTGTTACTCAAGAATTTATGAGCTGATTATGAATGCATTCCACACAAATGTCTAGTGGGATAAAAAAAGTTATGTTTTACATTCAAAAGGTCAGAAGTCAGGTCTGGAAATTATGTTGGTGGTGGCAAATAATAATACAATAAAAAATATTAGAAGCTCACAAAAAATTAAGCTAAAATCTGAACTGCTTTCTACATTTTAAAGAAAGACGAATTTTGACCTTAAATCAATTTTTTATGGAGATAAGCTAACAATGTTTCTGAATAAAACTTGGTCTCTGGTTCTGAATTTCTAGATGCAGAGGATCAATGGTGCAGCTGTTCCGGTGTAAAGCTGAAAGTGACGGCTGAAACTGCGGATTTACAGGTCAATGGACATTACCACCTTCACTTATGGCCACATATAGCTGGTAATGAGCAATCGAAGACGAGCTTGATATTTATCAAACAGATGTAGTTGCCTTGAAGTGCAATCTTCCTGACATCTGAGGAACAGCTGGTGTCAGTTCAGCGGTGCTTCTCATCCTTTGTGCAGATGTATTTAACGAGGGACCAGACAAGAGAGGAGGAGTAGTATAAGTATAAGTATTATATTATGGATCGCTCCCTGGGACACCTGGGTGCATTTAATTATGTTAACTTGCTTCCTCGCTTCCTGCCATCTCATCTCTTCTTTCTGTCTTAGTGAAAATGTGCAGGAGACATCCATGAACAAGACTGAAGAACACAGGAGAGAAAATGAGAAATCCTTGCTTCTATAGTATTAGTCTTAAGAGATCCTGTCCTTTTGAGGGATGCTTCCCTCGCTCTTAGCTCTTCCAGACACACTTATCTCACCTGTCCTTGCCTCTTTGAGGTGTTTTTAGGAGCTGGAACATCCTTTGTGATTGAGAAGGGTGAATGATTTTGAGGACACTGGAAAGAGGATGCAAGAACACTTCAGCTTTGGGGTGACTGTAGCTCAGGAGGTAGAGCAGGTCACCTACTAATTGGAAGGTAGGTGACCTTCCAAATAGAAGGTGGAAGGGGTGGGGGGGGTCTTAATTTCCAATTCGATCCAAGTCTGCTCCAGTCTGCATACCAAATATCCTTCATCAAGTTGCTCTGACTGTGAGTGTTAGATAGAAAGTGCTTACATAGAAAAAAAAAATGCTTGTGTGAATGAGGCAAGTATATATATATTAGGGGTGCAACGATACACAAAATTCACGGTTCGGTTCGGTTCGATACTTTGGTGTCACGGTTCGATAATTTATTAAAATTATAAATATATATTTTAACTCAAAAGTACAGTTTTTAAATTTAACCCTAACCCTTGTGCGCGTTTTTTATTTTGACAGCGAATGCGCACCTGCGGACCACTTATGTGCAGCCCTGGTTATTTAGCTCGTCATATTGCAGCCACAGAAATTATTTTGTCCATGAAACCATAAAGCTGCACTTTCTTTTTGCCTTATAGT